TAGCACTTAAAACCTGGAAAAGTCAGATTTTCATGATATGTCACCTTTAAGACCTATTTAATCTGCATATAAAACATTAGATATTTGTTTAATTTTTATTGTGTGTTTGACTGTTAAAACAAAAAATATTTGTTGTTTGTCTCAATAAATTGGGTTAATTTAAAAATACAGTGGTTCAATTTAAACATTTTTTTCTATTGCTCTTTGTTTTACAAAAGGTTATAAAAAATTTCAATAATTATCGATACCGAACGATATGAAACATTATATCGTTGATTGATCGTTAATACATTAACTAACATGAACTAATGGAACCTTATTGTAAAGTGTTACCTATGATAAAATAAAATATACTTTATTATTATTATACTACTACTACTAGATGGAGGGATGAATTATAAATAAAATAATTTGATCATAAATTTTCAGTGACAAGAAATGTATAATTTTAGATCAATAGGTGGCACCAAATTTAGAAACCATCAAGTAACCAATTGTATGCTGCATTATCAGGCAATTGTACCAGACAAGCTTTATGTGGATATTCAAAACCTTTGCTCAGATACTGCCTCGCTTCCTGTTTTGTCTTCACTTGCACTTTCATTATGGTTTTTCTGAAGCATTGTGTAGAATAGATGAGAGAAGAACTGATTATGATTTGAGCCATTTTTTTTTGTTTTAAGATTGTACAAACTTTGTAAGACCAGTGAAAATTGTGTGTAAAACGCTGCACTGCAATGATAAGCATGTTCCTATGCGTCAGCCTAATACCTCAAAGCACTGCAAAGACACTAATTTTACCATTTGGTAACTAATAAAAACTTCAGTTTATTATTAGTTTATTTATTAATAAATAAATGTAAAAAAAACAAATAAATAAATAAAAGGACTATGTGTTCATCAAAGTAAAAAAAAAACACAAGCACACAAAGTAACCACTTCTAAATTTGAGAGCTTTCATTTCCCTACAGCACAACATATCAGAAGTTTAAAAAATAAATATAAATAAATAAACAAACAACAGTAGCAAAGTAGATTAAAGCAAAGCAGGCAGCAGATTCTTACCTTCTAGAAAATGAGCGCATTTCAGAATAAAGTACTGTTGCATTGCAACAAATTAAAGTAAACAATCCTTATAACATTGCTTCTAGTGTTGTATTTGATAGAGAGACAAAGTTTGTGATTTCAGAAAGCTGGTAAAGTAAAAAAAAAAAAAAGATTTTGGTCACAGGACCACATCAGCTGACTGTTTCCACATAAAATATATCCCCCTTGTGCCCCACAGTACTCAATCACACAAATACACACAAAAAGGCTGTTTATCCGTGTTTTGGCCAGAGGTCAGAAAACAGATTTACTTAAAGAACTAAAGAGCGCCAAAATAAATCTTACTGTGTCCAAATGATAAGTTTTATTTGGGAATTATTCTGTGATGTGTTTCACTTCAGACAATACTGCTGGTAAGAAAAGCCCTCAATGCAACTGAAAGCATCAACTAAGCTAGTTATATAAATCTTGCAACCTCCCTATCGATTTTGTATTTAGTCACCAAAAGTTAATATTATTTTATTAACTTTCCTAAGTTTTAGACCGCAGGCAGTGAAAGGAAACCATGTGGTTGGGTGAGACGAAAGAGGGGCAATGTGGTGAGGATCAGACTCAAACCTGAGTAACCCAAACGTACAGCAGGGATGTACAGGACGGGAACACTACAGACTTATTACACAAGCAACCAAATTACCTTGTCAGGTTTCTCCTTGATGACATCTGGACTGCAGAACATCTCAGCTAATGCCACATGTAGTAAGGAATCAAACAGAGGAACTGCAAGTTCGGAATTCACAACTCCAGATCGAGAGAGCTGATCCCTGACCTCACACAGCGTCTCCTCTACGGACTGAAGCTATGGGATAGAGCGTGGGAAAATTACACTAGTCGAGAATGAGCACAGGACATAGTCACTCACTTCAAAATGGCATTCAATAGCTGTGTTCCAAAACCTAGTGTGCCTACACTGACAGCATTTTCATGCATCATTTAAGGTTCCTGATGCAACATTACATTTCTCCCTTATTAAAAAGGTAATTGCAGAATGCAGTGCAATAAGCTCAATAAAAAGAAAAATCATTGGACAAAATGTCTTAAATCTAATAAAACTGACAATTACTACTGAATTCACTGTATTGTCAATGGATTTTTTGTGCTTAAGCCCAACGTGTACTTCGGTCTTAACACATATGGTCAAGTATGTATAGCCAGATTTCACTCCGTATGCTTTGCTTGCACATGCTCCTTGATTATTTTTTTTTTTTTGCATTAATTACTTTGTCCACAAGGTGGGTGGGATGTTGTTACTCAGTCGAAAAAAGAAACAAATGAGACAGAACAACAACAAACTACTACAGATGCAACAACTACAACAACAACCCATGTTTGCGACTGCAGATACCCACAACTGTAGTTTAAACAAGAGCAAAGTCATGTTTTATAGGGGAAAAAAGGATGAAGCTTTCTAATATGCATGTGTTGAGCACCTGTGTTTGTGTACGCTATCAAAGAGAGTATACTTTAAAAGGCTATGTGTTCTGCTATATGAATACACTAAGCGTTCTCGTCAAATCTGAAATATATTTTGGGCTTTAGGTATAGGGTGACCATATGTCCTCTTTTTCCCCAGACGTGTCCTGGCCGGGATTTCTAAATTGCCTAACAAATCTGGGCTTTGTTTTCATACTTGCTGAAGGTAATGACTGAAAAGTAGTTTGACCAAAAACGTACAGGCATTGTACATGATCGACCAATCGTGGAGTGTGAGAAGGTGGGATCTACAGAGAATGGTCAAAGCAATGCAAATACAAGCACATATTATGTATGAGGACTCTAGAGAGCACGTCAATAGGAAAACAAAGCCAAAACCCGGACATTTTAGGCAATTTAGAAATCCCGGCCAGGACATGTCCAGAACAAAGAGGACGTATGGTCACCCTACTTTAGGGGTTCTGAGTTGTTAGCTTAGCAGCATGCTAATGTCACACTGTACTGAAATCAACTGTCTCTTGGGCATTTAATTTGAGTAGTGACCTATTCACATAGGACTTGTTCAAGACAATTATAAAGCAGCTCACTAGGGTTTGAAACAGAGCTAATGTGTGTGTCCACTGTACCTGAAAGGAAAGGTCTGGTTCAAATCTCTGTAGGGCTGAATTGGCACTGTGGAGGCAGATTGCCAAAAGCGCCTCCAGCAGTCGGATGCTCTGGAGAGGCCATTCCTCTTCAAGCCTGTGCGTTGGGTCACTTGACTTGCTCTCGACCTGAGAGGGGCTGAGAGTGTCATGCTGGTGGTTTTCCTCTGTACCTGCAGCAGTCGCTTTATTGTCAAAATGTCCTGTAAGAGCTTGAGTGGGAGAGTCTACATGAGATGGACTGCTTTTGCCCTTACTCTCTCTCTTTTTCTTAAATTTACTGTCTTTGATTTTAGGCGTGAGTTTCTGGATGACCATTGTCATTAGACGCAAACAGACATCTAGACCTCCCAGTCTAAAGAACTGCTTCTGGAATACTGGACTGGCCATGTATACCCAACGGCATACTGACCAAACATCGGCAGCCCTCCTTATCTGTTCTTTAGAGGGAAGAGCCACACTGTCTGGGGAAAGGCAGGGCAGTCGCCCACCCAATGGCTCACTAGCTGTACTATCATAGCCCGAGGTGTCTTCAGAGTCATTAGCAGAGTCTCTGTCAGAGTCCGCCTCCTTGCTTACACATAGGAAGGCAACACACAGAAAAAGGTTGATTGTGTTTAAATGCGCCTCACCTCGGTTACGCCCTACTGCAGAAAATGCACTTTTGCCCTTTGGATGAGGGCATGCCTCTTTCAGGCCTTCATAAAACTTAGTGAGGCTTTGAGGTCCATCACAAGCCCCACGTGAACTCAGTTCCTCTACAAGCCCAAGAACAGCTTCCCTCTCCTGAGCTTCCGCTCTTTCTAGCTCATGCACAGCAGAATCCATGTGATGGTGCCACGCATTCAAAATAAGTGTCTCGAACACTTTCAGTGCCCATGGACGAGTGAAATCCAAGTAGATCAACTCTGTGATTTGGTTCAGTCCGTTACAACTCAGGAACAGGTCACGTACCACCTGGCTGAGTTGGAATACAAAATCAGAAGTTAAATTCAGTAAGGACATTGGAATCTCAGATTATTTTAAAGGCTGATATAGGGGACTTTCACACTGGCACTTTAGTTCAAAACAGAGGATGGGTTGCAGGACAAATTGTTAATGTGAAAGTTTTCATGCAGACCTGGGAGTGCACTGCAGTATCAAACTGGAAACTACCTGTAGGAGGTGATCGGAGTTCAGCTGCAAAGGAAATGAATGGCACGGGTGACGATTTACCTTGGATACAAGTGAGAGTGAGCATGCAGTGTAATCATGCAAAGTGAGTGCAATCTGAGCAGCAAACGAATGGCTCGCAATCAACTGTCTCCTCAAAAGAGACTGTTTGCAAGTACAGCCCTCTACGAACACCTTGGCAATTGAATCGCCATTGGCTAGTAAATTTTTTTGTTTACTAGCCAATTGTTATATATATATATATATTTATATATATTTTGTTATATATATATACAGTGGTGTGAAAAAGTGTTATACTTAGCCTCCAACTCACACTGGCGAGTAAAATCTGAGAATTTATTAGCAATTGGCTAATATTAGACATCATTTAGTCGCCCAGAGTGAAGATTTAGTCGCATATGCGAGTGATTTACTCGCAATGTAGAGGGTTGAAGTAGCAGAATGGCATCTTCATGCGACGCACATACAGTAGACACAAGCGTTGTTCATTCTGCTGTGCATAATAGCACCTAATTAATACAAATATATTGACCCACGTTGTTTTCGATCATGCGCAGTGAAAATTTGTTATGGCATAAGATGAACTCAAATGCACCAGGGTTCGACAGAATCAAGCGAGTCTGAAACCAGTCCAACACTGCAGAAGGTGTCTCACTCAGATTCGGACCGCAGTAAACGTGCTCAGTGTCAAAGCCCCCTTAAAGAACCTAAACAACAGTGAATTAGAGGAGTAAGAGAGAGAAAAAACATGTTCATACCTTGACTTTAGCAGAGCAGGCAGAGTTTGAAGATAAACCAGTAGTACCTCAACCGGGAGGCAATGGGTATGGTAGCTGCAGACTTGGCTACAAGTAGTTGACACACCAAGTTGCTGGGCATGATGGGTTAGTTCCACACCCCGCTGAAGTACTGGGTTAAAAATATGAGTGTAGAGTTGCCATTGCACTACTGCATTGCCTCGTAAAGTCAACTGGCATACATGACCGGCAATTTGTTGACTCAAATGCCAGTCTTCCCCAAACACAATTTCTTGATAGGCCTCTAAAGCATCCCACTTCCATAGCATGTCTTCAGCTCCTCCACTGGGCAGAATACCTTGGGAACGATAAGAGGGAGATTGGGACGTGGATAAGTTCGATTCTTTCTTAGGTCCATAGCCCTGCAGAGTCTCTTCAAGGCCAGGTAACTGGCTATTATCCAAAGTGCAAATGTTGCAGGAGGCAAGCTTGGCCTTTTCGGAAGGTTGACCACCTCCAAGCTGTTCTAAGACTAGTCTACTAAGGACGCTCAACACGTGGGACTGGTAGCTCCGAAGTCCTGGAGCCTGAAATGCCTGGAGCATTGGTCCAATTACGGACCTTGGATCCATGCAGCAACAGATGCCAACAGCTTGCACTCCTGCCAGTACCTGCAGCACAGCAGGACCTGAGGGTGAGAGGCGCTGGAAAAGACGCAAGCATTGGTGGGCACATGCTGCAAGGCAACAACAGCGTTCGGGGTACCGCACTTCCCCGTCATGACCCTCGGAGTCCTCCTCAAAGGGATTACGTTGGGCTGCCTGCTTGAAAGTGGATACCGGCAGTCCTGAGAGGTCACGGTGATGGTGCAAAAAGTGGGAGTATTCGCAGCGACGATGTCGACGACGTGCACAAACAGACTGGTGTAGCTGCTCTGACTTGGCCCTCTTGACCGCACTGATTATCTTAAGTACATCTGCTATCAGACAACGCAGACGCTCTGATGCCTCACTGCCGACTTCTGAATCTCGAGCTTCTGCTAAGGCCTCAAGGCGCAGAGCTGTTGCCTCGAAGAGCTCCAAGCCACGGTGTTGGACAAATTCATGAACTAACTCAAGAGACTGACTGAAAAAGAAAGGGTTGGGAGCAGAGGCCTGTAAACAACCTAGTAGTAACTGCAGGACACCCTCCAAGAGTTCTGGCAGTAGCAAGGCCCGGTGACGGTACCTTGAAAAGGAAAAATCCTCTTGTATCTCCTGCAGAGTCTTCTTTGGCCTTGGCGCAAAAGGGTCGGCTTGCCTTTCTAAACAGGTACGAATCTTTAAAGTTGCTCTGAAGAGGTCCATCAAGATGCGACGCAGATTATCAGGCAGTGTCTCATTTTGACCGACATCTACAAACATCAAGTGCAGAATGGTGCGTAAAAGCATCCTTTGAACAAGTGCAATTGGCTCCTCAGTCCAGCCTCCAGCTAGTTCATCGATCCCACCTCCACCACCTTCACCGGGACCACAGCAGTCACCAAACTCTGTGAGTATCTCTGTGAGCGTGGGAACAACGCTGACCGCCAAGCCTGGGTTATGATTGATGGTCATGTCGAATTTGCAGACTTTTTCAAGAAGAGAGAGCAGAACATGGCAAAGGTCAAAAGGCGAGTTCTCCATGCGGTTGAAGATGGAGAGAGTGGTGGGGTCTGTTAGCATGTTAGGATCTAACGTGTGATATCCAAACAGTCTGTGAGGTTGGGATGGCTCAATGGTGCTCATGGCATCAAGAGTGGGATGTTGCGATGCTGGCTGTGATGGATTGTTGGACTGGTGAAGCTGGCAACTATCACGAACGGCCGAACTGTGGAATCGGCGATGTTTGCTACCAGTATTTGTGGTTTTATCATCCGAGTTGGCTTCAGAATCTGATGTGGAAAGCTGAGATTTGCGTGCATCCCTCACAGAGTATCGCTGAGCTGTTCTACGTGAACGACGTGACTTCCAGGAGCCAGATAAACGCTTCCCAGAGTTCTCCACATCACATCTATCTTGCCCCGCCTTTTGAGGGATGGTCCTTCCCTCTTGGCATAGAAACACCTCTAGTAGTGAAGGCAGGGTGAAATCTAAGATAAAAAAGCAGAGTAGGGAAATTTAAATTGATTAAAATGATCGTCCTAAATAGCATCAACCAGTTATACTAACTGGTTTCATCTGGTTTCATCAGAGCAAGTCCCTATGACCTCGAGAGGTCTGTTTACAACACAATTACGGGAACTAATAACTCAACAATGTGGAAAGCAGCTGCTAGAAAAGATTAGCATGCCTGCACTAAATACCTTAGGTCTCAAGATCAATGAAAAGTCTTATCCTTTCCATCATCCTTTAACCGTACTGTTTCATAATTCAAGACATCTCAAGGTTTCACTTGTTGTTTCTGTAGGCAGCTACTTAAAAATTCATGGCGTCCTCACAAGATCACTGCCATCATATGCTTTATAAAACAAATTGTGTAAAAGTATATAATTAGTATTTCCAACTAAATGTAATCCCAGAATGTCATTTAATATTAGCACATAATTATTTAATGTAAGGTTTAAGGTGGGTTAGAGTATACCTCTAGTGCATTCTCAAATTTAAGACTGTTAATAGCACGCATTATTAAAGGGCTTTATAAAATGAAGTGACTCACCTGGGGCTTTCTCCTCCTGAACAGGAATCTTCCAGACCAGAGGTAGCAGAGACAACAAGAGTGTAAGCAGCTCTTCCCGACACGTCAACTCCTAAGTAAAAAGGAAGTTAATTCTGGATTCGAACTGAATTCTTCACTCAGTCTCTGCAAATCCAATCAAAAACAGTCTCCTTGTGTTGATGACCACCTAGAAGCAGATTATTTTTCTCACTTCTGCTTCATAGTGCCCTGCCTCTCTTGGCAAACTAGTTTCCAAAGCTAGACAAAAGATGGACAATTGCAGACAACAAAACATTGGTATCCAGTGGTTTTCATCCAACCGCTTAAGTAAAATGCAGAATTTGCTGGACATGAGGTACGACAGCAAGCCTCTAAATACTGGCTCCACCCTGAGCAAGAAAGCATTCCTCACAAGGAGAAGCGAAAGCACCCTGACACATGTGAATTAAAAGCAAATACAGGGGGCTGTGTGCCACAGAGCTGTGTGACCCCAGGTAAACAAGCATCTGGCAGCATACTCGTAAGCTAATTAGGAAAGTGGCTAGGAAGCCATATTGACCCACCACAATGCAAACACTCAGGCGATTGATGTTGTGTTGAGAGATAGTTAAGCAGTGCCGAGTTCAGAGAAAAGGCCCATGTCTTGTGAGTAAGAACCACTCCAGACATGATTCATAAGAACTCTCACTTCAAAGAGAGAAACTGAAGGAGAGGCAGAAGAGCGGGGTCTGAAGGAAAACATGGGATCAAATAAAGCACTTGTCATTTCCTGCCAAAAATTTTGCTGACAGATTTTGACTCATCTGTCTGTTTAAAAATAAAAATAAAAATACAAAATAGTAATGCAATAACAAAGGATGTGCACAGGGCCAGGCACTATTAACATATATTTAAAAGTCATTTGAATTAAAATATCATAACCACATCACTATGCTGTGTACTATGCACTATATCAAACACCACTATGCTGATCAAGAAGGCACAGCAGCGACTTTATTTTTTAAGGGTCCTGAAAAACAACTCTCTAGATCAGGGGTCGGGAACCTATGGCTCGCGAGCCACACCTGGCTCTTTGACAAAAATCATGTGGCTCGCCAGATCTCTCACCCTTTACCAACAAATGATCTATTACAAAAA